TTCTTGTCTTCTTAATGACTTTTTGCTCTCTTCATGTATGATGTTCTTGATGTCATCCCACAACTCTTCTGGTCTTCAGTCTTTAGTGTTTAATTCATCAAATCTGTTCTTCAGATGATCTCTAAATTCAGGAGGGAATACTGGAGTAATCCAATCAGAGTGGTGTGTTTATAAAAGAAGATCAGACCCACAGACATAAAGGCAAGACAGAGATTGGAGTGATGCATTTCCAAGCCAGAAGCTGGAAGAGACAGGAAGGATCTTTCTCTACCACATTGATCTCCAGAACTGTGAGAGAATTAACTTTCTACTGCTTTTCACCATTAACTCTGTGATACTTTGTTGGTGGTAGCTATGCTATACCAAATTACCACAAACTTTAAAAAAACATAAATTTGTTTTCTTACAGTTCTGTATGTCAGAAGCCAAAAATTGGCCTCAGTGGCCTAAAATCAAGTTGCATTGCATTTGAAGGTTCTAAGGAAGATTTTTTTTTTTTTTTTTTTAATTTCTAGCTTCTATAACTTTGTGCTTGACTCAGAGCCCTTTCCTTCATCTTCACAGTCAGCAGTGAAGCATCTTCAGTCCTCTCTCTGACTCTGGTCTCTTCTGCATCTATCATTTCATTGCCTGTGACTCTTAAGAACAAAAACAACCAAAATAACCTCCTCATCTCAATCTGTACCCTTTTGCCATGTGAGACAACATAGTCATGGGTTCCAGGTATAAGGACCTGGACATCTTTGGGGAATGGTTTTCAGTTGACCATCCAGGGCTTTGTGAACAGGTTGTATGTCATGTGACCTCTACGGGTCTCACTTTCCTCTTCTGTAACCTCGGTTGCTCTGAGGTCTAAATGGGCTGTTGTGTATCAAGTGCTCAGTCCCGGCCCAGGGCTCTGGGGAGAGTCATGTGTGTTCAATTTCTCTAACACTTTGGCCACTTGAAAGTCCATGGTGACCTATGTGGAAGGGAGCAAAGTTGTAAAGCTTGATGATGCTTTACAACAGATGAGTCTTCTCATCCCACCAGACAGGACAGAGGTCTTGTCTGCCATGTGTCATGCCATCCTGAGCATCCAGTGTGGCCTCTAAATCCTGAGCAGGCTTCCTTCTCACTGCATATGCCCAAACATGCTTTGCCACAGGTGACGCCTCTCCTCTGCTGAAGCACGCACCTGTCCCGCTGATTTCCAACAAGGTCTGCAACCACAGAGAGGTGTATGGTGGCATCATCTCACCTACCATGCTCTGCGCGGGCTACCTGAGGGGCGGCATAGACAGCTGCCAGGTAAGGAAGGGCGTGATGACTTGGGACTGGGGCAGAAAGCAAGGTGAGGTTGTCCAACACAGCCCATGGGACAGCCTACCACCAGTGCTCTCTGTGACTGACCCCAAAGCAAATTTACAGGGTGTGGGAGAGACATTTGTTTAAGATATTGTTCCCTGTCCTGGCTGGCTGGCTTGTGTTTGCAAAGGCTCCCCTTTGCTTTGGGGTTGGGTGGAGGAAGGCTTCTCTTGGCGGTTCCCACCTAGCTTGGTTCTGTGTTCAGAGGCATTTAGGGAGTGGCAGAGTCCCTGTGTGGTGCAAATATTTAAGTGCTTGGTTGATTTCTGAAAGTCTAGAGGTTCGAGGCCACCCAGAGGCACTTTGGATGACATACTTCCAAAGGTCATAACTACTCAAAGCCCTACGGAGCACAGTTCTACTCTGACACACATGGGATCACCCTGACTTGGAATTGACCCCACAGCAACTGGTTAAGGGAGGGAATGAGGTGGGACCTAGTGACTCTGGTCCTATAAGAGCCATGGTGGAAACTCCAGTGCTCCCTGGTAGTCCATCCACAGGTCAGCTAATATTCCATCTGGGTGCCCCTTCTTGGCTGTACCCAGTTTTCCTTGCCCTTCATGAGGTTGATGTATCTAGAATCAGGTAGGAAGACACAGCCTAGAGGGAAACTTTTCTAGAAGGGCAGAGGGACCCTCACCATGGGAAGTATTAGAGACCATTCTAGCAAGTCTCTGGGATGCAGAACCACCTTGCTCCACCATATTGCTATAATGCTCTGAAGAGGGACTAGAGCTACAACAAGGAAAACCACTTTGCAGTGCCTACTCTGTTGACCTTTCCATTTAGGGAGACAGCGGGGGACCCCTGGTGTGTCAAGACAGGAGGGTGTGGAAGCTGGTGGGGGCAACTAGCTTTGGTATTGGCTGTGCTGAGGTGAACAAACCTGGGGTCTATACCCGCATCACTGCCTTCCTGGACTGGATCCATGAACAGCTGGAGGTGGGTGTTGTAGGTCCTCTGGTGGAGCACCCCTTTCTCAGCTCTCCCCATCACATTTGTCACCCTACTTACCCTTTGAAGTACTACCCAAATTCTGCTATGAAGAACCAAGGAGCGGTAATTCATCAGCAGCTCTGCACCCAGGGATTTAAGGGCTCCTGGTGCCTAGGTAAGAAGTCTTTGTGGTGTTGTGGGATAAGTGCTGAGCTGCTAACTACAAAGCTGGCAGTTCAAACCCACCAGTCACTCCTGGGGCAGAAAGATGAGGCTGTCTGCTCCCATAAATTAAAAAAACAAAAAACAAAAAAAAATTAAGTTTTTATTGTGAATTGAGTGAAAGTTTACAGGGCAGATCATCAGTTTTACATTCAACAAATCATATACTTTGTTCCATTACAATAATTGTAATCCCCTCTATGTATCATGAGTTAACTGAATATTTCTCTCTTTTCATTTTAGATCTTTAAGTGAAAATTTACAGACAACATTATCAATTTTGCGTTCAGCAAATCACATACTTGATTTCACCTCAATGATTACAATCCCTTCCATGCAACAACAATTATCCACTTCTCCTTGTGGTTCCTAGTTCCATTCCACCCACTGTTCCAGCCCCTCTCAACTTTGTCCTTAGGGAAATGTTGTCCTTTTGATTTTAATGTTGTTCCCTTCTATATATCTATCTACTGCTTGATTGAAAATTGGGTTCTTCTCCTCACCTGAAGGGTGGTTGAGGGCCATAGTGTCAGTTTCCTCCAGTCTCTTTCTGACCAATAAGCCTGGTCTGTTTTTTAAAAATTAATTTTGAGTTTCATTCCACATTTTCTGTCACTCTATCTGGGACCTTCTAATGTGATCCCTTTCAGATCAGTTGATAGTGGCAGTCAGGCACCATCTAGATCTTCTGGTATCAGAGTCATGGAGACTAATGGTCACAGGTTTCTCATCAGAATTTATAGTCTTAGAAACCCTAAGGAACAATTCTACTCCTATGTGTTGGCATCTACTCGATGGCAGTGAGTTTTTTAGTTTTGGGGTATCAAATCAAGAGCTCTGGGTGGCACACTTTTCACTACCCAAGTTGGCCATTCCATGAGGTGCCATGGAAAAAAAGGTTGTCTATCTACTTCTATTGGAGGAGAATACTAAAAGTGCCATGGGCTGCCAAAAGAACCAATAGATCTGTATTACAAGAAGTGCAGCCAGAGTGCTCCTTAGAGGCCAAAATGGCCAAACTTCATCTCTCATATTTGGAACATATTGTCAAGTGGGACCAGTCGCTGGAGAAGGATATCATGTTTGGTAAGGTGGAGGGTCTGGTAGCATAGTGGTTACGAATCGGGCTGCGAACCTTAAGGTCAGCGGTTCGAAACTACCAGCTGCTCCGCGGGAGAAAGATAAGGCATTCTACTCTCGTAAAGATTTACACCCTCGGAAACCCTGTACAGGGTCGCTATGGGTCGGAACCGACTCGACAGCACATAACAACAACAACAACAAAGGTGGAGGGTCAGAGAAAAAGAGGAAGACCCCCTATAAGATGGATTGGCAAAGTAGCATCATCGATGAACTCAAGTATGGCAACAATAGTGAGGTTGGCCCAGGATTGGGCAGTGTTTTGTTCTGTTGTGCATAAGGTCGCTATGGGTCAGTACCAACTTAATGGCACCTAACAGCAACAACAATATCTACTTCTGTAAAGAATACTGCCAAGAAAGCCCTATGGAGCAGTTCTACTCTAACACATGTCATGAGTTGGAATTGCTTCAATGACTGCAGGTTTGCTTTGTGTTTTATTGGTGTCAGATTCTTGGGAACTGCTGTCTGAAAAGAGCCCTCCAAACAGATGTGAGTTCAGCTGATCCCCCTGGCAATATTTTCCATAGGTGGGGTCCACACAGACAAGAGAGATGAATGGTATTCACTAGTCACAGGAAGGGAGACAGACAGCTGAGAAGGAGCCCTACTGAGGAAAGGGGGCTAGTTGAGGAGTCATGTATGCAAACAGAGAGGGATGGGCCACGTCATGATGGAGAGAGAGAGGGAGAGGTGAGATGGTCCAAACACAAAGATCCAAAATGCCCACAAAAGAGTTAGGATCTCCAATCAGGAAAATCTCCAATCAGGAGAGGGCTTTCCAGTGCTGAGCTTTAGGAGTCTCTTGTGAGTGGGAGGGGTTTATAAGAGGGTCTGGTCAATCAGGACCAGGGTGGGCTGGGGATCATTGAGTGACTGATGAGATGTGTCATGACTGGATGGCAATATCCACCTCCCCTCCCAGGTGACAGACAGAGGCCACAGGTAGATGAGCCCACACACAGCCCCACAGAACATAGAGCTTTCCACCCAGGAGATGCACAACAAATATTTGCAGACTTGACCTCATAGTGTGAGACACATTGCTCCAGGACCAGTTTCAAGTACTTTCTTGAAATGCCCTTTGGAATCTGAGACCATTGCTTAAAATAGGAAGTCAAGCTCTTAATGTGCCTCAGATGGTAATGTCGCTTTCTTTCTCTTGGGATTTTTGCCTTAAATGAGCAACTATACAATGCTGATAGAAGTGCCTCTGGGAACCTGAGGTCTCACTGGAGAGGCTGGGAGGACTCAGGGTTAACTTGCAGCACTGCTGTTCCATGAATGCAAGCTGTGAGCATCACTCTCTGCTGGTACTGAAAGTTCCTACCGTGGGATATAGCAAAGGTGATGTTCACAAGTCTCAAAAAAAGTGTTAGATCAACCCATTTGAAAATGTTGGCTAGAGGTCACTTAGGTCTCTGGGTAGTACAAATGGTTTGTGCTCAGCTACAAACCTTAAGGTTGGTGTTTCAGACCCACCTCTGTGCCCCAGAAGAAAGTCCTGGTAATCTGCTTCCATAGGGATTACAAGCCAAGAAAACTCTAGAACAGGCTTACTCTAAAGCATGGGGTCATCATCAACTGGAAATGATTTCATTGCCGCCCAAGGCAATGAAAAAGAGGTTGCTTGGGTGTAAGATGACAGACTGGCCCTACGCCCAGCACTGAGGAGCTCACTATGAAACTCAGTCAGAACCCATCAACCACATAAAATGTATCAAAGATTAGGTGTTTAAAAGAGCAACCTCACTGCCCCTGACCACTAATGGCATTTGGAGTGAAGACGGGACAGAAGGAACGCGGCAAGAAGATGCTGGATTCAGCTTTAGAGACATGGAAAAACATCCTCTATAAGGCATAGAGATCGATGTGACTGACCTAACAATCAAGAACATTGAACTTCAGGCACTGAAGGATGCAAGTCAAAGACAGCCACTCCCACTTCATCAAGCTTCTGTGGAATGCATAGGGTGGGCTTGAAGATTCTAAAATTCCTCCAGGGAATCTTCTAGCTACATGCAATGACAGAGATAATGTCTTATTCCATTCTCTTCAGGACCAACCCTGTATTACAAGTGAGGGAAGCAGCTTAAGGTCACCCAAGCCCGTGAGGGTAAGGGTAAGTCTCACCCAGTCCCATGACACTTTCTCTACAAGACTCTGCCCAGCAGAATCAACAAAGTTCAAAGTTGGGTGCACATAAGGCACTCCTTGGCTGTTTGTTAAGAATGGAGACCACAGGACCTTCTCCAGAGGTATTAAGGGATCTGGTGTAAGGTTCCCTGATGATTTTTGACGCTGGGGTCTTCAGGTACACTCTGACAAGCCCTATAGTGTTTGCTGGACTCTGGAAGGGTTTTAGAAAAGATTTCCATTGAGATCATGAAGCTGGATGAGTGGTTTTGACTGTAATGCTAGGAATCTATGTCCTTTGTAGAGTTAGTTATCAGCTGACTCCCACCCACTGCAAAGTGTTGTCCTGTATGAGATGTCAGCTGGCCATAAACATGTTCTTTCACAAGCCTCCCTTCAGGCACCCCAGGATGACCCAGAAGAAGTTTCCCTTCCCATGGGTTTTCTAGTGAATCTATTATCTTTCCTTCTACCCTGCCTGTCTCCTGCCCTTCATGTTCTCCTCTTTCCCTTCCTCTTCCCCTCTCTCCTTCCTTGTTTTCTCTCTCTCCCTTCCTCTCACTCTCTCTCTTCCGTCTAACCTTTCAAAAATTTTTTTTAAGTCATCACCACTATTTACTTTCAAAACATGTTATCATTCCAAATGGGAACTCTGCATTCATTAAGTAATAACTTCCCATATCCCCACCCTTAACTTGTGGTAGCCACTAATCTGATTTCTGTCTCGATGCATTTGCCTATTCTAGATATATATATATTTTGCATCTGGCTTACTTCATGTAGTGTAACATTCTTATGGCTTATCCATTGTTGTAGAATGTATCAGAACTTCATGTCTCTTATTAGTTGAATCATCTTCCATTGTATACCATGGGTATACCACATTTTATTTACATATTCATTTGTTGATGGACACTTGTCTTGCTTCTACCTTTTGCCTATTGTGAATAGAATACATTTGTGTACATATATCTGTTTGAGTCCCCTCTTTCAAGTCATTTAAATACATCCCCAGGAATAGAATAGTTAGGTCATAGGGTTATACTAACTTTAACTTTTCCAAGTGACTCGTTGTTTCTTTCAAATGTAAGTGTGAGGGACTTCCAGAAGCTCACACATCTTGAGGAGATTGTCCCAGTTATTTGTTGCAATGCTGTCTTGCCCCATTACCTTCGTTTTCACCTAGTAGTTTTATTCTATTTATGCCCCACCATCATCACCAGTTAACAATGGAAATCTTTCAAGAAAGTGAGGTGGCTCAGGAAGCACTCACTCATCTCTGCCAAGAAATTTGGAAGACAGCTATTTGGCCGACTGATTGGAAGAGATCCATATTTGTGCCCATTCCAAAGAGAGGTGACCCAATGGAATGCAGAAATTATCAGACAATCTCTTTGATATCTCAAGCAAGTAAATTTTTGCTAAAGGTAATACAGAAATGGCTACAATCATACATTGACAGAGAACTTCCAGAGGTTCAAGCTGGATTCAGAAAAGGCCATGGAACAAGGGATACCATTGCTGATGTCTGATGGATCTTGGCTGAAAGCAGAGAATATCAGAAAGATGTTTACCTGTGCTTTATTGACTATGTAAAGGAATTGTGTGGATTGTGACATGCTATGGACAACATTGTGAAGTATGAGTATTCCTGAACACTTAGTTGTGCTCATGAGGAATCTGTACCTGGACCAAGAAGCAGTTGTTCGAACAGAACATGGGAACACTGAATGTTTTAAAATTAAGAAAGGTGTGTGACAAG